CTCCACATTTGAAGTGAGACCTTTGTTAAAAGCACCAAACTCCATGCGGTCGTTACAGCACAGGGAAGTAGAAGTCTGAGAAGAGAAACTGCAGGGTTCAGGGAAGCCCCTTGGCGGCCCTCCTCAAGAGGGACAAGGGCACTTGAGGATCTGGGGAGCCAAGTGCCCCCCACTGAAGATGCAGGGCCAGACAGGGTGCTTCAGGGAGTGCATGCCTGTGGGGAGAGACTGTTGTCTGCAGAGGAAGGACTACCGCTACATGCACTGTCTCTCACCACAGCGACCTTCCCATGAGGTCATTGCTGCTGTTTCTCCATCCTTCAGATCAAACCAGCCTGGAGTTGTTGTCGAAGGGAGTCCTGGGAACATAGCTAAGGTCCAGCAGTGCACCCCAAATCTATGAACCTAGGATTCTCTCGTTACAGATCTCAGCAGAAGCCGTCAGAACTTTCCACACCTCCAGCAGCCACCAAACTTGATACCATCTGCAGAAGTCTCAGAACTTGCACGATAAGCCTCCCCTCCTCTCTGGCAAAGGTGTCAGAGAAATCTGAGAGAAGAAAGTGCATCCAGGGAGACAGTGGCGTGCTTCAGGAACTCAAGGGGGCACGGGTCTAGGTCAGCTGCCTATGAATCCTCAGTGAAGGAAAAAAAGAAGTTAAAAAAAAAATGAGCTGGGCAGTGGTGGCGCACGCCCTTAATCCCAGCACTCAGGAGGCAGAAGCAGGAGGATCTCTGTGAGTTTGAGGCCGGGCTGGTCCAACAGCCTCCAAAACAATACAGAGAAACCCTGCCTCGTAAAAACCAAAAAAAGAAAAACAAAAAACAAAGGACATGACTGCTCCTAGGTATGGTGACAGAGAAAGTTTAATGTAGATAAAAGGGAGAGCATAGCCAGAGGCAGGGACATCTGGAAGAGTCAGAGAGGAGCCAACCAAGAGGGACCGCTTGGGCCAAGAGACTAGCTAGGGGAGCACACGAAAGAAGCCAGGTAACCAAAACGGCCGCATTGTAGAGACAAGGGCAGCTGGGGGAAGGGCAGCCCAGACCCTAAGCTGCAGTTTAGGGTAGAGGGCAGGGAATGCTAGCCGGACTCTGTAACAGGTAGGGATTGAGGGGTGCTGGGAGAACCTGGTGGCGAGATCCACTCTGGTGTGTTAAGCAGGCACCTCCTTAGTTCTGGCTTTGAGACCTACCACAGGGGGTAGGAAAAGCCACAGCCCTGAAACCAAAGCTCTGTGCTGCTTCAGCCAGACCTCTGACTCCACAGCATGGCAGCGGGGCCTCTTTCCCTATCAAGAGTCTCCAGGAATAGCCTATCTGCAGGGAGGTCTCCGTGGAGCTATGGATGGGCAAAGGTCAGATACCAAGACTGGAAAAGCTGCAGAACCGGGGCTTGCCCACAGCTTGACCCATTCTCTGCCTGGGCCACCCCTCACCTTGGCCACTCCTGTCTAGGTAAAAGAGGGAAGAACTGGGCTAGTCATGCCCAAGCTGAACAGGGCAGCTACTGCACACTTTCCCATCAGCCTCAGCTCACAGGCGTTTGCTCCAATGGGACACAACTCCACCACAGGCCTAGGCCTCTCCCAGGACAAAAGGGAGCAGGAGATGGCCGCCTCCTCCTGTCAGATGCTCCCGCTCCAAGTCAGCTGCCCTTTCTCCAGCCACTTTTCTCTCATCCACGCCCTTCTTGCACAGCCTCTGCTGGAGTGGCCAGAGGACCTCTCTAAGATCAGATAAACTGAGCCCATAAAGACCTTCCTGCCCCAGCTGGGGAGATGGCTCTGTGGCTAAGAGCACAGACTGCTCTTCCAGAGGACCTGGGTTCAATTCCCAGCACCTACATGGCAGCTCACAATTGTCTGTAATTCCAGTTCTAGGGGATCTGACACCCATGGCAAAACACCAATGCACGTAAAATAAAAACACCGGGGCTGGAGAGATGGCTCAGCAGTTAAGAGCACTGGCTGCTCTTCCAGAGGTCCTGAGTTCAATTCCCAGCCACCACACGGTGGCTCACAACCATCTGTAATGAGATCTGGCTGCCCTTTCTGTACTGCAGGCATACATGCAGAGCATTATATACATAATAAAATAAATCTTAAAATAAATAAATAGTAACACCAATGCTCGTAAAATAAAAATAAATACATAAAAAAAACCTTCCCGCCACATTGGCTAGGCTGAGCTGTTCTCTGTATCTTTCGGCGCAGGCATTATTGTTTTCAGAGGGAAAGAATGACGTACGTGTGGGAGTCAGAGGGATAAACCAATCTTGGGGGTCTGTTCTCTCCTTCCACTGTGGGCTTCAGGGAACAAACTCGGGTTTCCAGGCTTTGAGCAGCCGCTGTCTTTAGCCACCGCTGTCTTTAGCCACCGCTGTCTTTAGCCATTTCGCCAGCCCCTTAAACCAGTTTTTGGTAAAAGCAGGCCAGGAGGTCAAATGGAAAGACGGGTCAGCGGGGAGTCCTAGAAAAGTTTCAAGAACAGCCTGTCACCTCCGAAAGGCCTGAGGTCCCCAGTGCTTGTCCCGGTGTAATCTGTAGGCCATGAAATTATATAGAAGTTTCAACCTAAAAATAAACTCAGCGCCAGGCTCTCCAGAACAAAGCAAAATTCATTTATGTCAGGATGCACACTGACTGATCACAGGCTTAGGGTTAGGAGACTTTCAAAAACATAAAGTCTATCTTCTGTTTGGGTTTTTGTTTTTAAAGATCTTGTTGTGCTTGCATGTACGTGGGATTTGCAATCGAGCTGTCTGTTGCACGCGGAGGCCAGAAGAGGGCGTCGGATCTCCCGGAACTAGAGTTACAGAAGGTTGTGAGCCTCCGGGTGGGTGACGGGAAGAGACCTGAGTTCCCCGAAAAAGCAACAAATGTTGTGAACTGTTCCTCCAGCCCCAGCTCCGCCCCTCGCCCCGGCACGGTTGGGGTGGGGGTGGGGGGGCAGGGGATGGCAGAGGCGCGTTCCCAGACTGGGTTTCTCTGTGTGGCCCTGACTGTCCCAGAACTCACACTTGTAGACCAGGCTGGCCTCAGACTCAAAGAGATCCTCCTGCCTCTGCTTGGCTTTGTTTTTTTGTTTTTTGTTTGTTTGTTTGTTTTTATTTCTTTTTTAAGAGAAGGTCTCACTCTCTAACCCAGGGTGACCAGGAACTGTTTGGCTCAGGCAATCCTCCTGCCTCCGCCTCTGAGTGAAGCAACTACAAGCAGGCGCCAACGCCCGGTGGCAGGTTAGCAGTTTTGTAACTCAAAGCCTTGGTTTGGGCGCAGGGGTGACCTCCTAGGGATGAGGATACGGAGCAAGCAGCCCAGGAGGGGTTTCTACCGGAATCCCCCACGAGGACTCCCTCATCCTTCCCCACTTGGCCCGCTTTCACGGTGGCAGCTCCGTCCTTTCCGATGTCCCTTTCCCACCCCCGCCAGCCTATCACACTCCTGCAGCCTGGGGTTCTAGCAGACCGCCGACCTCCACACGACAGGAGGTGCAGCGGCAGCAAAGCCCAGAGCCTTGCGCATGCGCAAGAGCGGCGGCCCGTCAAAGGCACGGGGCGGAGCCTCTTGCCCCGGAAACGGAGCCCTTCCATTACGTTCGCGCAGTTCCGCCCTCTCTCCTGGCTGCCAATCCGATCTCGGGCCCCGCCCCTGGAGATTCGGACCCCGCCCCTGGAGACGCGCCGCATCGAAGGCCTCTCCCACTAACCGAGTGTTCTGCGAGGGGGCGGCCGGGCCAGCGGCCCTGCGGCCACCATGAAGCTAACGCGAAAAATGGTCCTGTCCCGAGCCAAAGCTTCGGAGCTGCACAGCGTGCGGAAGCTCAACTGCTGGTGAGGCCGGCCAGAATCCCCCCCACCCCGCCCCAGGGCGCCTGCTCCCCCAAGCTAGCCAAGTTGCAGGCCAACCCCGGGGCCAGTGCCTCGCAGTGAAGTGGCCCTCGCCTGTCAGCTAGAATTTCCCTCTAGTTCCGCCCAGGGGTTTTCAGTAACCCTCTGTGACTGTGTCTGGTATCCGAAAACAAAGGCGCTTAGTGGCGGGTCTACAGGGAAGGAGACTGAGGTCGTAAAGTCATGATTCTTTGCCATTAGACGCTGGAGAGAGGGTGGCCTGGTCTGAGTTGAGTGACAGCCTGGAACTTAGATGTTTTGGGATGAATGCACTCTCAGGTGCATGGTTGGGTCACACTAGGACTGAAAGAGCAAGGCTTAGGGAAGAGTTTGCGTTAGTGGGGTGTGAGAGAGCCCCCGAGTTCTCTGGGGACTCAGGTGGGACACTGGCCAGAGCATCTAGAAGGGACCCTCGCTCCTACTGGTGTCAGCGCGCTACTGGAAGGAGTGGACTTTGTTAATTAAAAGCCTTTCTCTGCCCCGGCACATCTGGTGTTGAACCACAGCCCCCTCTGTCCTGAGTTTTCAATAATGTCTTTCATTGTTGAGCCCACATGGCAGGGCTTCCTCTGCCCAGACAGAAACAACAGCTTCATTGCAGGCCTGTGAAGTTTGCTTCATAAGTTGCATGATCAGCCTTTGAACTGGGCCTCCTGTGAAGACCCCTTTGTTTCTATCTATGAGCGGAAACAACTTTCTGCTATGGGAGCCTGAGAGGAGTAAATCGTGCACCCTGCAGACAGAGCAGACAGAGCACCCCCGTGCACCAAGCATGTAGTCTTGTCAGAAATCAACCTAATCAGCCGGGCGTTGGTGGTGCACGCCTTTAATCCCAGCACTCAGGAGGCAGAGGCAGGCCTGGTCTACAGAGCGAGTTCCAGGACAGCCTCCAAAGCCACAGAGAAACCCTGTCTCGAAAAACCAAAAAAAAAAAAAAAAAAGAAATCAACCTAATCATTTGTGATACCTTCCCTGTTACTTGGGTAACCAGCCTTTCAGATCACAGATGTACAGGCAGTTGTCACTTGGGGATTTTTGGTATTTCCACTCAACAAGATTAAAGTGTGTCTGTCTTTTCTCCCCCAGGGGCAGCCAGCTCACCGATGTAAGTTCTGCCCTGGTCCAATCATCGCCCAGATGCCCCAGAAGAACAGTGAAAAGTTACAGGACTGTGGTTATCAGTTCAGTGCTGTGTCACTTCCTGGTCCTGCACAGAAGAGGGCAGAGTCAAAGCTCCACTCTTGGAGGAGTCCTGGGTGGTGATTCTCCTCAGACATCATCAGGCTCTCTGCATGGCCTCCTCTCAGTTGGCCCAGCTTCAGGATGAGCCCCCACCCCCACCCCAGTGGCAGACAGAGGCTAGACAGAATACCGAGCTGGGTCTGTGGAGCTCACAGCCCAGGTCTGCTCTGCAGATCCGACAGTGCTGTAGCCGAAATGTAGCTGCTGTTCTGTCTGACTTGGGCCGGGCTCCACTGGCAGGAAGGGTGTCCATCCTTCCCTTATGCCTCAGGAACCGCCAGAGAAAAGGTTCTGTATCTCTGTATATGAAACCAACATCCCCAGCCAGATGTCCTTAGCGGGCATTGAGAGTTCTAAAACTGTCTGAAACACCCACCCCAGTGAAGAGCACTGTGAGGGCAGGCTGGGCCACAGAGACCAGCATGCGCTGATTCTTCTGAGTGTCCTGGTTGTGCAAGGCTATACGCCTTGACCCCATCAGTGCAGGTGACAGGACCCAGGACAGATGTCTTCCCTGACCTGAGAAGTGACAATGGGACACTGTCACCAACTCACCAGCCCCATTCTTCCCTCCCTAGATTTCCATATGTCGGGAGATGCCCAGCCTGGAAGTGATCACACTCAGGTACTTGACTCCTGGGTCACTGTAGACCTGGGGTATGGAAGCTATGGGGAACTACATGTCCTTCCTGTGCAGCCCAGGATAAATAGGAAACCTGGAGACTCCCATCAGCCTACGATGGCAGCTTCTGGAGACAAAACGGTTGGGGAATGGAACTTCAAGAGCCTGGCCCTCCTGCAACTCATATCTGCTGTCTTGGGGACTTAGCTGGGTCTCCTAGGGGCTCCGCTCTCTTTGCTCTCATATCCGCCCTAGGAAATATCCTGTACTCTTGTAGCTGTGGTCAGTCAGGCCTTCTAATACTGAGCAGGAATCCCCACAGGCCAGTCCTCCCCATGGCCACATCTGTCCCCAAGAACCTCCCAGTGCCCTACCCTCCTCCACCGTCCTGATCCCATCACTTCTAGGAGCTCCTCTGTCCCTAAATTCTCCCTTGACCATTCCGGGACCCAAGATAGGGCTGACACATTGGGTCCCTGCAGCCTGCTAGGTGCTGGCATGAGGGCATTCTGCATGTCAGCATGGTGCTGGTGTCCTTTTCCAGAGCATGCTAACATACCAGAGCAGCCTTGCAGGAGGGCGCATGGGTGGGGTTAGCTCAGCAGGCCCAGCCCTGGCTCTGGGAGGTAGAATGTTTGGCCACTGTTGAGTGGAACATGTGTGTAAAGATTTAGTGGATGGTAGGGACTTTGGGGGTTCCTGAATGCCCTGTTTTTCCCTTCCCGTGTTGTGTTCCCCTTCCTACAGGGTGGAAATCACCCTAAAACCCTGTTTGTCTTTAGCCTGGGATTCTGGGAGTCAGAGCTGATTTACGTGTTACACAGAGCTTGTGGGCTTTGCTGAGTTTTAGCCAGTGCCTGCTGTAGAGCTCAGTGTGTCCCTTGGGGACTCAGTGTCGCCTACAAAGGAGGGTGAAGCACCCTGTCTGCCACAGTGACTCCATCTGAGTGCAGGGCCCCGGGCCAAGGAGCTGCCCATATGGTGTCTCAACTTAAGGAGCCCCTCCTAGCTCTGCCTCTGCCCCAACCCCGACTTACTTGGTTCTGACCCACTTCTAAGGCCAAGACCTTTTGCTGGTATACTCATGGCTGAGGCAGACCCACAGGTGAGGTCCCTGGCCCACGGAGGCCCCGACTGTATGGGTCCCAAACAGTGTGCTGGTCCCACAGTGTCAACAGCGTCTCCACCCTGGAACCTGTACGTGGCTGCCGACGCCTGAGTGAGCTGTACCTGAGGAGGAACCGTATCCCCAGTCTGGATGAGCTGTTCTACCTAAAGGACCTACCACACCTCAGGGTACTGTGGCTGGCCGAGAACCCGTGCTGCGGCACCAGCCCGCACCTTTATCGCATGACCGTGCTGCGCAACCTACCCCACCTGCAGAAGCTAGACAACCAAGGTAGGGTCTGGTATGTCCGCCCACTGGCACCTGAGGTGGTCCCCATTGAGAGGGACCTCCCAGGCACCTGTCCTCCCTGTCTCCTGCACCTCCCAGCGTGAGGAGTGGGCTTATGCCCATCGCGCAGTGTTATCAGGAGCAGGCCCCGTGAGTGTCCCCTTTCAGATAAGCCATTGTAGCATTGAGTAGCCACGGGGCTCCTATCTGTTACACCCACCTGGATGTGTGTGTTTCAACAGTCTCTCCTCCTTCTGCCCCCCTCCGTGAGGGTTTGCAGTGGCGACTGGGCAGCATGTGGTGGGCTCAGCTGTACTGGCAGCCAGGCCTCTGGAGCCGCATGGAGGACACCCCCACTGCCCTCCACACCATGCCCGCCTATGCTCTGCCTACACGCCCCTCTGTCATGGGGGACAGTCGTGCTCACTGCCATCACTGACACCAGGCATCTGAGCTCTCAGCAGCCATTTTCTAGTCCTCATCAGCTACATGCAGCTGTCTTCTCCCGGACACTAACAAACAAGAGCGAGTGAAGTGAATACGTAAAGCTCGGCCCTCCTAAAATTTGTCGTAGGGGCCGGAAACGTAGTCATTTCCCGAGAAATGGCAGAGAGCCTGCTAGCATGTCGTATGCAAGGCCTGGATCCAACCCCAGCACCACACAGATTTGTCTGGACTTGGGGTTTGGCTCTTAGAAGATGCTGGGCCTGACCTTTACAAGTAGCCCCCTTGTTCTTCTGTCAAATGTCATACGCACTCTGGGATTGGGAATCAGAAGGGGCAGGACTGTCCGTCCCCAGGGACAGCCCCCACACACAGCAGCAGGTGTGAGGCCCTGCCCGAGGAGGCCGGAACTGCATGGAGCTGTGCAGCACAGGCCTCTGCCACCCTTCCCTTTTCTGTCCTTCTCCACAAGCTGTGACAGAGGAAGAGCTGACTCGCGCGCTGATGGAGGGAGATGAGATCTCTGCCGCCCCAGGCAGACAGGACTCAGGCAATGGCTGTCCCAAGCCCTCCTATACCCTCAGCTCTGTCAGCTCTACAACCGAGACCAGCCAGAGCCTGCTGAGCTACACAGAAACAGAGTGAGCATCCTCGGGCCGTGAGAGGGGGGCTTCTTTAGAGCCGCCACACCTGAGTTCCACATGGTGGATGCAGCCTGCTATCTCCCATCCGTGGACAGCATTAGAGATGAGCGCCGTGGGAATGACCACAGGCCACTCCCGCTCTGACCCCTCCAGGGTCATTTCTGTGGCAGTGCCTTCCCTGAGGCCCTGGGTAGAAGGCGTTGCAAGTGGGGAGCCCTGGGCACAGAGAAGTTGTTCCCAGTGGCTCTGGGGCCCTATGCTGCACACTGGGCTCCTGTGCCATTGTAAAGTACCTACTTGAGGGTGCCTGCCTTCTGTCTCCTGCTGTGGGCTGGGACCACTTGCCATGTGGCTTGGTGGGAGTTAACAGGCAAACGGTGGTGCCCACAGCCCTCTGATGGTCACACTCTCTCTGTCTCCCTCTTACCAGCAGAGTCCAGGGCCAGACTGCTGGAGACCAGTCTCCTTCCTTCTCACAAAGGGATGCTGTGAGGAGTCAGAAGAATAAGGTGAGTGGCCCCTGCCCCTCCATCCAGACAGCAGAAGGCAGGCTCCGTGGGGTGACAATAACACGGGGCCAGATCTAGGTTCATAGGAAGGAAGAGGGGGTACATGAGGCTCAGTTCTGCTTCCCACTCCAGCATGCTGGAGCCCACACCCTCGAGGTCACTGTCCCCTCAGGATTCCTTCCCTCCCCACTTGCTGCCCCCGAGTCGAGCTCAATTCCAAGAGCAGGTCTGTGCCCACAGGCTCCCTTCCCTCTCCAGGTCCTCAGTTGCTCCACAGACAGCTGCCAGAGGCATTTGTCTACTGGTACCTACCAGGTATCCTCTGGCCTGCAGCTAGAATAGGCACACCCACCCCAGAGAAAGCCCACCTTCCCACTGGTTGCCCTGGGCTGGCCTCTGTAGAGTAAGCGGTTTGCAGAGGCCTTCGTGTGCTGTAGAGGTCAGGGGTCAGAAGCTATTCATTTCTGGCTTGTTCTTCCCAGTGAGCCACAGGTGCTGCCCCTCAGCCATGCACGAGGTCCTCTTGTCTTTGGTTGGAAACACTCCTTCTCACCACTTTGTATGAAAGGGTGCCACACTGAGCTGGCCTAGGCCCTTAGCCTGTCTGCTCAGTTTCTCATCTAAAGGTCGGGCACAGACCCAAGGCTGACTGGAACCAGATAGAAAAGCAATATCCCAGCGTCTGTGCCTCAAACTCCCCAAGTTGCTGCTTTGGAAGGCCCCACTGTCCACCCCATAGAGGATGCCACTGGCCAGGCTCTATGTCATCCTCTCTGTCCCCAGAACATCCTGACTGCCATCTTGCTGCTGCTGCGGGAACTGGACACAGAGGGCCTGGAGGCTGTCCAGCAGACTGTGGGCAGCCGGCTACAGGCGCTGCACAGGCTGGAACCCCAGGAGGACATGGAGTGACTTCATATGCCCAGTACCTGGACCTGTTACATCCTGTGGAAACAGCTCCACCTGGAAAGCCTCCCGCTGGGTTCCCAACGCCAGACCAGTGCAGGAGCAGTGGCTGACAGCTGAGCAGACCCCTCTTCTATGCCTAGGGCTGGCAGAGGCGCTGCCCACATGCATGGTCCCTGAGACTTACCGGTTGAGGCCTTGGGCATCTAGGCACTACCTGATCCTTCTTCAAGGGAGGACTGTACAAGCCATACCCTCCAATAAAGCACTTTGTTTGGGCTGGAAGCCAGCATCTCAGTGGCAGGCAGGGCCTTGATCTCAAGGTCCATGCTGCTTCTCAGCAGCTAGGGGGAGCTCTGGTGTCCCTGTATCAAGCTTATCCTCAGGGAGAGTCCAGAATGATATCTTAAAGGAACCGTGTCCCAGGTGTCCTTAGACACCATACCCTAGGAGAATGGCTTCTTCTCAGGATAAGGATGGGCAGGACACTGTCCTTTTTATTTATTCCTCAGGAGAGAGATGTCACCTAGGTAACTATTGGGGATGTCCATCGACAGTTGTTCAGCATCCTGAGGTGTCAGATGCCATCAATAAAACTGTCTTTGTTAGAATAATTGGGATAGGGCCTGTAACTTAGCCACTAGGCAAGGGTGTCTTGGGGTGGGCTTACACCTGCCATGAGAGAATAGAGCTAAGAAGGGAATCGAGATTAGCATATGTAAAACAATGAACAAAAGTCTGGAACCACCACCGTGGGACAGATTGGCATGGCCCAAGAACGCTGCTGCATACAGTAGCTGGCTCTGTAGGTGACCTGTGAGGGTCTTGATGCCGAAGGCTCGGGGCCCTTGACCAAGCTTGCCTCACCTTGTCCACTTCCAATCTTGGGAGTACTTTTTCTCTTAATAAACTGTTTCTAGCCGGGCGGTGGTGGCGCACGCCTTTAATCCCAGCACTCGGGAGGCAGTGGCAGGTGGATCTCTGTGAGTTCGAGGCTGGGCTGGACCCACAGCCTCCAAAGCAATACAGAGAAACCCTGTCTCGTAAAAACAATAATAATAATAATAATAAACTGTTTCTATCAGTACCCGTGTCCCTGGTCCAATTCCTTGTTCTGGGACGTAGAATCTGGAAATGTTAGCAGGTGCCCCGTAGATCACACCACCTGCCTGTAACACCCTGGCTTTCATCCTTGTGACACACCCACGCATACCTCAGGGATGGGCAAACTGTACCAGCTGTGATAAAACCTCAACCCCTGATCCCCATCTCCAGCCTGCTCTGCCCAGACTGAGGACAAGCTACAGCCCAGCTTGTAGCCCTACTTGGAGTTGAGCAAAGGGACCTTCAGCCCCCTACTCTGAATCTTTCAGGTGTAGCCCCTTGAGCAAAACAGGAATTGGCATCACAGAGGTGGGGCACCCTCCAGTCCACCTCATAGCAGGCAGCGCTGAGGCCGGAAGTGTCACCACCTAGAAAGGTGGGGGCAGTCCACAGGAGAGCTCAGGAAAGAGGTGGCTGCTCTGTATCCTGGGTGTCACCTAAAGCCATTGCTGTCACAGGGACCCAAAGTGGCCATGCAGCTGAACATTGAATCTAGCAGGAGTTCCATACTGAGAGCTAAGTCCTACACTGATAGGACACAGGACAAGGACCTGACCCCACCTGACAGTGACCAGAATGAGCCATGTGAGTCCTGTGTTTGGAGCTCCTGCCCTTGATGCCTCTCCGCTGCAGAGCCCCACCCCCACCTCCCTGTGTGGCAGACACCCCGGCTGAACAGGGGTCTGATGGGCGCTGCTGTAATCTTCGGGTGTCCAACTACAGCCTCCTGTTGTCCCCAGAGCCTGTGCCGCCTTGGATGGAGAACACACTCAACAGTTGTGGCTATTCATGGTGACTCTGGAGCAAGCACATCTGTCCCCCGTGTGTCACCCAGCAGGGACTCCTCAGCCTGTCAGCTGGAGAAGCAGTGAGAGGCCTTAGGATGGTCCAGAGGCCATTTCCAAGAAGGGTTAGTGAGGAAAAGCCCTCTCCAGGGTGGCAGCACCTCTTAGCAGGCAGCCCAGACATAAAGCAGTCAATTAAAAAGGCAATGCCGCCTGCCATTCCTTCTTTCTGTCACCATCCTCTACACATCAGAATCCAACCTTTTCACCCTCTGGTGTAGACTGAAGACCAGAGGCTCTCCAGGGACTCTCCAGACACTCAGCAGCAGATTGGGACTGCTGAGACATGCAGACATGAATTTAGCAGCTTCCAGATTCTCAGCCTCCTGCATGCAGATGACCATGACCGGACTACCCGGTCCATTTGTGCAAACCAGCCTGGCAAATCCACTTTTACAGTATATATACATTGCATTGGATCTGTTCCTCTGGAGCCCGTTCAAGACACAAACCCTCCAGGGTCCTGTAATGTGACACCTCTCCCAACAGCCTTGAGGACACTGCTTCTTGGGACTCCTGCCAGATGGAAGCAGCTGGAATGTTGCCTGGGTGAGATGGAGGCCCACAGCAGCCCTGCAGTGACCATTGGCAGCTAAGCGTTTTCCCAGCAGCCCCCTGCATTCACAAAGCACTCCTGATCACAGACATGCTCTAGTTTTCCATAGCTGTTGGGAGTCTGTGAAGAGAACCCCTGAGTTCTGTGGCCAGGCTTGGTCTCAGACATTCCCCGGGAGGTCCACTGTTACTCTGTACTTGGACCATCCATACAACTGCCGCAGAATGAGAACACCCATTGCGCTTAGCCTTGGGGAAGATGAAGCTCTCACAAATGCTGTCCCTTCCCGGGCTGGGCGAGCAGACAGGTTGGGAAGAGCCTGCTTGTCTCAGCCAAGCCATTGATGTAGCATGCTCCATTGTCTCTGACCCTGTTTAGTCTTCACTGAGGTCAGGGATGGTCTGTTCTGCCCTGTCCCCAAGGTGGAATCACCCAGTTCATGTCATCAGACTAGATGACATCAGGATGTGAGGCCACTCTGATGGCTGCTGGGACAGTGGCTTGGATGTTTCCCTGCCCCTCCCCCCACTTACGTGCCTGGGAGAAGAGCGACAAGGTGCTTTGCCATTCCTCCTCATTATCAGGTTGTGAGCCCACCCATGTGGACCAGTGTGACATGATGGTGACTCGGGAACACAGTGTGGCCTGCCACCAGGCACTGCTGTGTTGGGCTGGTGCAGTGGGTAAGCCTGTCAGCAGTCATGCTTTGGGGGATGCTACGTAAGATTCCCTGATCACCTTAAGGTTTATTCAGGGGTCTCGAGATCCAGAAAGCCCTAAAACGGTGACCCCCATGCTTGGAAACACCCTTTCTTGTGACTGAGCAGAGCACAGGGACAACACAGGTCGGCTCTAGGTATTAAGCCACTGTTGCTGTCCCCAGTACCCTGGGCACCAGAGTGAAGGTGGCCCTGCTGCATGGCAGTCGGCCCTCTGCAGGACGATGGCTTCCCAGTTCTGCCTGGGGGGGGGGGGGGGAGACAAGATATGGGAAAGAGCAGCGTGGGGACCAGAGGCTGAAGCGTGGTAGCCATTTGTGTCAGTGCTCGTCTTTGTCTTGGCCTCATTATCATTAGTCCAGCCAGACCCGCTGCCCTTTATATGGAAACTAAGGCAGCCCTGGCAATTTACCTAGTCCCTAATGCTGCCTGAAAAGTCCCAGGCCCGTAGGGAGACCCTTACCCAGGGCAACCACCACCCCCATGTGGCCACCAGACCCACAAAGCCAAAAACCACAGCCTCTGACTTCCACACCCTCAGACAGGAAACGGCTTCCATCTGTTGAGGGAATGGACCCAGGAGTGGCTCACACAGAAACCCTGACCAGTGGATTGGAACAGGATCGAGGGGGGGGGGGCTCCGGCCTTCACGGGCTTCTCTGGTGACCCAGTCTGTGAGCCCCGAGAACTGCTTGAGGATCAGCAACCAGCCAGGACTACACTGACAGTGACACAGTCTCCCCTCCAGAGTTCACAGGTTGAGACCCCAGCCATTCATGGGGCAGGTGAGGGCCCACACCAGGCTCAGTAGCGCCTCCCCAGGCGGGTTCCCTATATCTGATCTTACAGAACAGCTGTGGGTAAAGCTTACACATGAGTCCTGCCAACCCTCTCCCAAGACTCCTCAGATCGTGGTGCCCAGGTAACCAGGCTCTAGTCAGGTGACTTTATTTCTAAAAAAAAAAAAAAAGGTAAGACTCCTTTTAGCCATGTGGTGAGGCAGCCAGCTGGCCAGTGAGGGAAAAGCAATGTGGGCCTGCCCAGCCAGGGCTGGAGGTGAGGGCTCCCCAGATGTTCTGTCTTGGAGGTGACTAGGGGAGTGAAGTCCCAGAGCAGCACACTAGACCCCACCCCCCAATCCTCCAACCCTAGACTCCGAGTTCCATGTGAGTTCCCCTCAGTGCTGGGATCCGAGGCTGGCACTGGAGGGGAAGTGTCCTGGGAAGCAGGAAGGGTGGTGATGGTGACCTCAGAAACCTTTGTCTATGCTCAAGGTGCGGCGTGTGACATGCTCCAGCTCCCCAGACACGTAGTCCGCCATGCTGATGCGGTAGTGTGCCAACATCTTCAGCATCAGCCGCAGATTCAACCACCACTGTTCCCGGGGCATGCGGTGCCTGGGTAGGTCAAGGTTGGGTAATGACAGAAGCTGAAGCCCGCAGTCCCCTAAACCCCCAGGTGCTATTGCGGAGCACACCCAGGTGCCCCATTCCCGGTGGGGGGTGGTAAATACTGCCGAGGTACAAGAGCCACAGGCTAACATAATCAGCCTGTTGATCACAACCCCTCCCAGACTGCCCTGTGTTGGCCTTAAGACACTCGGACAAGAGTCCTGTTCTTTAAAGTCAGATGAGGACCCTGTCCAGGGACATTCTGGGCCTCCCAGGGTCCTCCCTCCTCCATGCAACCCCAAAAGGACTTACTCAAAATCGGTATCTTTCTTGAGCTCCGTGACGGGACTGAAGGCCACCACCTTCTTCCTCAGGCCGATCACACAGGCTGAGTCTGGAGCATTGGCGAACACCCGTCCTATGGAGACAGACATGTGATGGGCAAGGCCAGGCCCCCAGACACCCACAGAGGGCCAGGCCGGGCCAGCCGACCCCATCTACCTTTGCGATAGACATCACGCAGCTTCTCCGACATCCACAGCATGGCCTTCACCCCCAGTTTGGTCCCATAGTTCCGGTCAAAGGGGGTTGGAGCACCACCCTGGAAACACAGGCAAAACCTCATCCCTGGAGCTGGCCAAGCTCCAAAGGAGACTGGACACAAAGGGGG